GAAAATGGTGACAACGGTTACAACGGTGACAACAGTGAAAATGGTGAGAACGGTGACAACAGTGACAAAAGTGACAACAGTGACAACCGTGACAACAGTGACAACAGTGACAACGGTGACAAGTGACAACAGTGACAACGGTGACAACAGTGACAACAGTGACAACGGTGACAACAGTGACAACAGTGACAACGGTGACAACAGTGACAACAGTGACAACGGTGACAACAGTGACAACGGTGACAACAGTGACAACGGTGACAACAGTGACAACAGTGACAACGGTGACAACGGTGACAACAGTGACAACGGTGACAACAGTGACAACAGTGACAACAGTGACAACGGTGACAACAGTGACAACGGTGACAAAGGTGACAACGGTGACAACGGTGACAACAGTGACAACGGTGACAACAGTGACAACGGTGACAACGGTGACAACGGTGACAACGGTGACAACAGTGACAACGGTGATAACGGTGACAACAGTGACAACGGTGACAACGGTGACAAGAGTGAAAATGGTGACAAGAGTGACAACAGTGACAACAGTGACAACAGTGACAACGGTGACAACAGTGAGAAAAAAAAACAATGGTGACAACAGTCACAACAGTGACAATGGTGACAACAGTCACAACAGTGACAATGGTGACAACGGTGACAACAGTGACAACAGTGACAACGGTGACAACGGTGACAACAGTGACAACGGTGACAAGAGTGAAAATGGTGACAACGGTGACAACAGTGACGACGGTGACAACAGTGACAACGGTGACAACGGTTACAACGGTGACAACAGTGAAAATGGTGAGAACGGTGACAACACTGACAACAGTGACAACGGTGACGATAGTGACAACAGTGACGACGGTGACAATAGTGACAACCGTGACAACGGTAAAAACAGTGACAGTGGTGACAACGGTGACAACTGTGACAACAGTGACAATGGTGACAAAAGTAACAACAGTGACAACAGTGACAACGGTGACTACAGTGACAACAGTGACAACAGTGACAACAGTGACAACAGTGACAACGGTGACAACAGTCACAACAGTGACAATGGTGACAACAGTGACAACAGTGACAACAGTGACAACGGTGACAACAGTGACAACAGTGACGACGGTGACAACAGTGACAACCGTGACAACGGTGAAAACAGTGACAGCGGTGACAACGGTGACAACAGTGACAACGGTGACAAAAGTAACAACAGCGACAACAGTGACGACGGTGACAACAGTGACAACGGTGACAAAAGTAACAATGGTGACAACAGTCACAACAGTGACAATGGTGACAACAGTGACAACAGTGACAACAGTGACAACGGTGACAACAGTGACAACAGTGACAACAGTGACAACGGTGACAACGGTGACAACAGTGACAAAAATGGTGACAACGGTGACAACAGTGACAACGGTGACAACAGTGACAACGGTGACAACAGTGACAACGGTGACAACAGTGACAACGGTGACAAAAGTAACAACGGTGACAACAGCCACAACAGTGACAATGGTGACAACAGTGACAACAGTGACAAGGGTGACAACGGTGACAACAGTGACAACAGTGACAACGGTGACAACGGTGACAACAGTGACAACGGTGAGAAGAGTGAAAATGGTGACAACTGTGACAACAGTGACGACGGTGACAACAGTGACAACGGTGACAACGGTTACAACGGTGACAACAGTGAAAATGGTGAGAACGGTGACAACAGTGACAACAGTGACAACAGTGACAACCGTGACAACAGTGACAACAGTGACAACAGTGACAACAGTGAGAGCGGTGACAACGAGACAACAGTGACAATGGTGACAACAGTGACAGCAGTGACAACGGTGACAACGGTGACAAAAGTAACAATGGTGACAACAGTCACAACAGTGACAATGGTGACAACAGTCACAACAGTGAGAACGGTGACAACGGTGACAACAGTGACAACAGTGACAACAGTGACAACGGTGACAACAGTGACAACGGTGACAAGAGTGAAAATGGTGACAACAGTGACGACGGTGACAACAGTGACAACGGTGACAACAGTGACAACGGTGACAAAAGTAACAATGGTGACAACAGTCACAACAGTGACAATGGTGACAACAGTCACAACAGTGACAACGGTGACAACGGTGACAACAGTGACAACAGTGACAACAGTGACAACGGTGACAACGGTGACAACAGCGACAATGGTAACAACAGTGACAATGGTGACAACAGTGACGACGGTGACAACAGTGACAATGGTGACAACGGTGACAACGGTGACAACGGTGACAACTGTGAAAATGGTGAGAACGGTGACAACAGTGAGAAAAGTGACAACAGTGACAACCGTGACAACAGTGACAACAGTGACAACAGTGACAACGGTGACAACAGTCACAACAGTGACAACGGTGACAACAGTGACAACAGTGAGAGCGGTGACAACGGTGACAACAGTGACAATGGTGACAACAGTGACAGCAGTGACAACGGTGACAACGGTGACAATAGTGACAACAGCGACAACAGTGACAACGGTGACAACTGTGACAACGGTGACAACAGTGACAACAGTGACAACAGTGACAACGGTGACAAAAGTGACAACAGCAACAACAGTGACAACGGTGAGAACAGTGACAACAGTGACAACAGCGACAACAGTGACAATGGTGACAATAGTGACAACAGTGACAACGGTGACAACAGTGACAACGGTTACAACGGCGACAACAGTGACAACGGTGACAACTGTGACAACAGTGACAACGGTGACAACAGTGACAACGGTGACAACGGTGACAACAGTGACAACGGTGACAACTGTGACAACAGTGAAAACGGTGAAAACACTGACAACAGTGACAACGGTGACAACAGTGACAACGGTGACAACAGTGACAACAGTGACAACGGTGACAACAGGGACAATGGTAACAACAGTGACAATGGTGACAACAGTGACAACGGTGACAAAAGTGACAACAATGACAACAACAGTGACAATGGTGCACAGGTACAACAGTGACAACAGTGACAACAGTGACAACAGCGACAACAGCGACAACAGTGACAACAGTAAAAATGATGACAACAGGGACAACAGTGACAACGGTGACAATAGTGGCAACGCTGACAACAGCGACAACCGTGAGAACATTGACATTGGTGATAACAGTGACAACAGTGTGAACAGTGACAACAGTGACAACAGTGACAATGGTGACAACAGCTGGTACGGTGACAACAAAGACAACAGCGACAACAGTGACAACGGTGACAATAGTGACAACAGCAAGAACAGTGACAACAGCGACGACGGTGACAACAGTGATAACGGCGACAACACTGAACAGTGGTAACAGTGACAATAGTGACAACAGCGACAACACTGACAACATACCACCTCTTTTTTTGAATCTCATTTGGTGTCTGCAAATCAAATTAAATAGTGTCTAGTGGCTATCTAGAGGAGTTTAACTGTAGGTTCATCAATATACTTACCATATTCTGGTCGAAATATTTTTCTAACCAACAGAAGGAACCATTCCTTTGTCAGGCCTCCCATGTCTAGGCCTGGTTCGCCAGCAAATGTCACTTTGAGTTTCTTTTTTAAGTCTCTCTGCTTGCGAGAGATCTAAGAGAGGTAAAAATAACGATAAGCAGTTTTAACAGTGACATCGAGTATAACTAACAGCAGAAATCTTCTACTTCAAGTGCTTGTGACTGTAGTGGAAATAAACAGTTGCATAGAAACCAAGTACAAGGAAAAATAATTTCATGCCATGGAATTGAAGAGACTGAACAATGAATGCTTTGCTTAATTCATCATTTATCTCCAACAGCCTTTAATTCTCGTAAACTACCTGTATTACAATTACCAGTAGAAATTATGTGAATATGAGAAGTAAAGCATTGGGATAACATTCATCCTTAAGTTACTAGCTGACAAATAACCAAGCCCTTCATAGCACACGACAGCACTATGGTACCTGCCAGTAGTATCAATAGTCTTCCTTTTTGGCATTCTAATTCAATTGGTCTAAGCAAAACGTCAATTTTCTTCTAGTACAAAAAACTTTCACATGTTCAGACACTAGAATATAAAGGTCACAAAGCAGTACCTGCTTGAAAAGTTTTGAGAGTATTCAGTATAGTTCGTGCCTTGTCCCTTTTGCTATGCAAATGCCCCCCCCACAAAAAAAAAATTAAATTAGTGAGCCAGGGGAGGTATTTGGGTAGAGCCTTTCACATTAGTAATCTTGCTTCTTCTCTTGCAAAATCCCCAATTCTGTGAGAATAGCTCTAGCTGTTTGAAATCAATGATCACTTACCTCATTTAGAGAATCAGAAATTAAATTTGAGCGGCGAACTTTGATGTTGAGAAAAAGCATTCCCATGTCAGGCATTTCCCTCCGCTGAACTTTTGCAACAAGGCTTTTCTGTTGATGATTGGAAACGGACAAAAATAGGAGTCATTTGCTGCCTTAAAGGGCATGTGTCATGGCTGACTACTTCATTTTGTTTATAATGCCAGTTATGCGTCCTTATTGGCCATGAAACTTGAAAAATCACAGCTTCATGCCAAACAAATATGCCTCCCAAGCATTTTATCAAACAATACAAACAACGAAGATGAGGCTAACAAATTTTCAAAAACCTTGATAATTTCTTGCAATCCGTTTAAATCATCTTCAAGTTTGTCCATCCGCACTGCCTTTTGTATTTGCTGTGTAATTCGTGAGTTCTTTTGATGGTTTGAGCAGCTATTTTTATGTTTCACGAAGTTTGGTGGCGGTTTCCACTGTTTGAACTTTGATATATTTTGTCACAGTCAGCTCCTTTAAACACCACTAGGGAATAGTTTAAGCCCATGCTGCTGGTTGTGTGCCAAACCTAACTGATAAACTGGGTACAGCAGAGGAGAGGCACTCGTATCATTCTCATTTAGCAGTTTTTGCTTGGAAAAGCACAACCAGATTCTACCACACATAACCTCTTCATCTTTATTCTTTAATCTTTAACATTGTATCAGATGCAATAGAGTGCATTGATCAAAACATGTTTATTTGCTATTAAATTTTTTTTATGGCTAAATTATCAATTCATAACATAGAAAGAGAAAATCTTTTGAGTCCTGTTCAAAAAAGAAAGATCTTGGAGAAAACACTTTAACAACAGTACAACCTACCCTGGCCATTACAATCATTTGTGACTCAGAGTCCTTTTGCATGATGAAACGCTTTGCTGCTAGGCTCAGAATGAACGGGTACTGACAGAATGAGAACTTCCTAAAAAGTCAATAATAGGAAAAAAAATATTACCAGGCAGATCATTATTCTCTTACACTTAAAAGAACCACAATAGTAATACACCTAGCCCAGTGGATGAGATTTGGAAAGCAATCATACATGTAATATAATTATTGCACTGTCCTCTGGGTAGAGATTTATTTCACAATATATCCATTACAGGTCAAATTAGATTTCAGGTCAAATTTCTTTAACCTGGGTTGATTTTTAATTTCCTTTGTCTTCCAGGGCTAGGAGACAAAGGCAATTGAGAATCAACCTAGGTTATATCAAAATTAACCTAAAATAAAATTTGACTTGTAACATAACCACATAATGAACCAGTAGCTCCTTTAGGTAAAGCTTTTCTCAAGTCACAGGGACCCAACACTTTCGGCAGCATCGAGCGGCAGTAGCATATGGTTAAAAAAAAGGCTCCTGGGCAAGTAACTTATCATGCTCACTTTCCCCCAGGCAAGAGCAATGTTAGTCAGCAGGATGCCCTGGGGCAAGAAAACTTTGAGAACATTAAGAGTTTTCATCAATCCGTCCAGAAGGGGTTAACCACTCAACTGCTGCATTTTGTGTGTCAACCAAGAATGTTCATGGAGTCAAGTGAAAGCCGAGTAGCATATAGATTTAGCCAAGGCTAAAGGAGAAGTTCCCATTCATAAATTTGTAATTTACTTCAAACAATATAACCTGTAACCATTGAAAAGAAATCCACTTGGAGTTAAGCCTAGGATCAGTTGAAAACTAAAACTTGTCAGCGGAGAACTTAAAAATAAAACACATAACCGCAATGAGTTGACACCTCAGCCTATGACCAGTCACCTGATGCTGGTCAGCAGACACCGTGTTTTGGCATGTGTCAATTCCCCACAACAAGGATGTGCAATATTGGGTTCCAGGCTGTTACACGTACACACTAGCTTTAGATGCTGGACAGACTTACAGTCACATGACTATCAAAATTTTTCAGATGGATGTAAGATAGCCAAATTTTCTTAACTATGTGGCTCCGCTGGCAAATGCGTGGAGTTCTGCTACTAATAATGTTAGTCACTTGGTCTTAGGGCAGTGTTCTTACAGGTTGTACAAGTTTACATTGTATTAATGCCAAGCAGTACAATCAACCCAGATGACAATCAGCAGTCAGAGTCAGCAAATTGATGACGGTGCCACTTGAAAAAGTTCTTGGTTTGAATTGACTCACCCAGGATTAGCTCCAGGATTTTGCCATGAATAATATTCACTCATAAGGTCAATGTGATCCAAGGACTGATTGTAGAAATAGGTGTGGTTCACAAGGGGCGGAGTGAACAACCAGTTGGATGCATCTGAGATATTAAAAACTAAACATCAGTTTTTAACCTTACAATGAGCTGCATGCCACTGCCAAAGACATCCATATAAATACATGCACCCCCTAGTGGGGATTTAAGGTTTTGAAACCACCTATCCCTATACTGCAACAAAAGGAAACTGAGAAAAACTGAGAAAAGGAAACTTAAAAAACACTCGAAGGAAAAATTTCCAGTTATAACTATCACACATTATTTTTGTTTAAAAAATTTGGTCAAAGACATTTTCAGTGACTTTCCAAGTTGTAAATTTAGTATCATTACAAAATATATTATTATATAAACGATGTGACGACAGAGACATTTACATTTACCTAGGCTAACGCGTTAAATGTTATTGATGGAACATCTCGAGTAGTGTTGTTACCTCAAATATCTAATAACCCTTTGGTCAACTTGGAAAGGGAAAGGAAACTACAAATTTCAGCTAGTTTACAGTTTATTTTTAATAATGGTTTAACAGTTTATTTTTTAGTAGATTTGATAATCACATCAAAGTCAAATAAACTACATTAGAGAGAGGAGTAATACTTAAATTCACTTTGAATCCAAACTAGACTTAAATAATTCTTGTGAGGCACTAGAGCATCTGGAAACTGATACTCGTTTGACTTTGAAATAAATTAATGGTTGAATTGACAAATTATTAAAAAATGTGGTTATCGAAATATTTTATTATTAATGCTTGTAATGGAAACAAAAGTAATATATTTAACATACGAAAACAAAGGTTAACATTTAATAGCATACTTAGTAATGCCAGAACTTTAACGGCAGAAGGAATCCACCAGGTACATTTTTCTTCAGAAGGCAGATCATTGATATTGGCCGGAAACAGACGGACGCTAATAAACTTTAACAATATAAAATTTCTCAGTACAGGAAAAATTTATTCACATCATAGTAAATAAACAGTTAACTGTACTAATAAGCAAAAGCTTATACTGGATCCAATCATTTTAACCTGTTATATATGGTGTTAACTTTTATTATTATTTTGACTCAAAGACCAGCTTTTAACTCTTAACAGTTTGTAAAAATCTTTTTAAAATTAATTTCAAAGCCATTACTTCAACATCAACTCAATATCACCACTGCATGTACAGGTTACCCTCAAGACATGATTTGAGTAAAAAAACTTACAAGGTCAAAGCTGACATTACTTTTAATAACATAACTTGTGAATTATTTTATAATGTTTACATGTCAACGAAAATGCATCTCAATAAAATGCACAAAATCTGTCCAATAAAAAATTACAAATGAAGCAAAACAATAAGGTCGTTTAGAGGACAGTACCAATTAACAATGAGCATGGTTTATCTATCTGCAAGCTTCATAAAACCCACCTTGTGAATTACCTAAATATCTCACTTTTAAGCACAGAAGGAAATGCAAAACTGTATAGTGCTCCAAAGTCAAATCCATGAGATAATTTTTTACATATTTTAATTTGGTGTATCAATATGACTTCTCTTAATAATTTGATTTCTATAATAAAACAAAAACGTTTGGATAAGCAAACCTGTTGTACTCTTGTAATAAGTCCTTTAAAGGTATTGACAGGAATTCTATGAACAAAAGATCAAAAAGCTTTTTAATGCAATTGAGATCGACTGACACTTCATTGCTACAAAACATATTCATAGGAAAAACTTGTTTATGTAGCCACCTGCTAATTAGCCTGACTACATGAATACATTGTGTACAATGTAAGGTAGATAAAACTCAGTTCGCACACATGCAACATTTTTATGCTCATTATCCTTAAGTAACGTAACCCATACAAGTGGCCTTGACAACATTTGTTATTGTTCAATTTTATTCTTGGTTTAAATCTTATTTCCCCTTATTTTGGGGTATGGTTATGTATGATCATGAGTTGAAAACAAAGGAAATAAAATTTAAACTGAGGACAAAAATTTATGCACCTGCAAAAGCTATTTAAATAACAATAGAGTGTTATATCTGTGTTTGAGTAAACTCTGAAAGTTAATATCCAACTTCCACAGCTTCCACTGTTTCCTTTTCTTTAATTCTAACACTAATTAAAAATATTTGTAATAAGTTAAAAAGTTGCCACCTTAAAAAAACAATTTTCTTTGCCTTAAAGGTGTACCTGTTATGAAATCCCCTCTTTCACTTAACAATGTTGCCACTAACATCATCAAAAAATCAAGAAGAAAAAGAAAAAAGTACAAGCTGCAGCATGCACAGTGTACAATCATGTATGTAGCAAGGATTTGTATACAACACTGTAACAATACAGACCAAGAAAGCACAGCTTTTAAATGGAGTAATTAATGTTCTAAAACAAGTAAATAGATTAAGTAACCTTCTAAACCAGTGAACAAGAAACTGATGCTCTCCATCGGCGAGAGATGACACTTGTCGAAGAAGGTGAGCAAAGATGACGTAGGTAGCTGATTTGTTAAATTGAGGATTCTGTAAAGTTGACAAAAGAATGGGTTACAATTTATGTTAACTACATTTTGAATAAATGTACATTGTATCATTTTTCAAATAACTTTTCTAAGGAAACAACAACAACACCAACATATTGAAAACCATCCAGTTTTAAGTGATTCAGGCAAAGGTTGATCCCATATGCAGGGTTTTCATGATACACATGCCATCATTAAGAATTCTAGTATAGCAGAAGAAAGTTGTAATGCTACATTATGAAATGTCTCAATGAAAAACAATCATCACATCGCACATCAGCTGGAGAATTCTGTTTCTAGTAAACGGAGAATTCTCCAATCTCTGATGCCTAATGAGCACCCTGCATAATTATGTGAGAGCATGTGCACCCTGTTTTGGACAGTTGAATACTAACATTGACAGCCCAATTTTAAGAAAGTACAATTATAACTACAATAACAAATATGATGACATGTTAAATGAAATGGGGCTTAACAGATCTAGTACAAAGGAGCCAAAAGGTCAAAGAGCCAGGAAACGATGTAAGACATACAGTACTGATCCACTGCTCAATTTGTTGAAAACAGCCTAAAATTCTTACAGGCTCTAGCTGACTGGCACATTATTAATGCAAAATCTATTGAAGGTACATGTACATGTATAAGTAAAACGAAAAGTGGAAAATACAAATAATACAAGTATAACTTATGTGTAATACCTGTAACAAGATGATGTAGGCTCTGAGATCATTTTTAGTTCTTCTACTGTGTGAAAGAAAAATAAGCAAGTTATATAAAAGAGGTGAAGGCGCACACGAGCCAAAGGCCCAAACAGCCAGGAGCTTATCCCGGTTTCCTTAGAATGAAGCATGCCTAGGAATATTGCTACTCCCCCTGGAAGGGATGCTTGTCTGTCGTAAGGTTACCCCCCAGCAGTATGTCACCAGTACACATGCCATTCATACATCTTGGTGAAGAAAGACAAAGTGGAGCAAAGTTCCTTGTCTAGGAAACAACACAATGGGTTAGGCTTGAACCCCAGACATCCAGATCTGGAGTTTGAGGTGTCAACCGCTCAGCCACATAAGTCACCTACAAAGCTATATCCATTCTTCCCTCATGGAGGGGTTTGGTCCACATCAAACCCCTACCCTTGAGGAAAATCAATTTTACAAAGACAGAACGACTACAAATGATCAGGGGGGGATTGGTATTGATATTTCTTGGAACCACCACATTTATATATAGCATACAAGAAGAAAAACAGGCAGGAAACAACCTATTTTATAATTAATTTTATTACCGTTTGATGTCTTGTAAGAGGCTGTTAATCACAGATTTCAGGACATTCTTTTGCACATCTTGGGGCTAAAGCAAGAACCAGAATTAGTTAACAAACCCTTTAAAAAAAATTGTGGTCAGGACACTGCATATACACATAATGACTTGAAAATCTATGCCAGTTGAAAGATGAGAAAATAAAAACGACAGGTGTGTACAGGAAGCCAAGGAAGACAGAAATCTCCTCAGCAGCAACCAGGAGATTTTCAGAGCAACCTAATCACAACCTTGGCACTTACAAGGGACTTTTTCTTATATTTCCAAAACACTCTGAAAGGAAATGTCCAATCACAGGGAGCATTAGAAATTTACTTAAGCCAATCAGAAATGGATATACAGATATCCCTGAAAACCTAAGGAATACCTGCAGAACAAGTGGTGTTTGGAAGCCATTGCAAAGACCGTTTTTATCAGGAATTCAGACTGTCTGCAACACACTCAGAGGCTATAATTATCACAACTTTACTTCAACATCCTCTATAATGTACTAGATGAATTATTAAAAAATCAATTAGCAAGTTTTAATAATTACCAAGGAAAGCACAATTTCATAGGTTATCCGCACAAAATCATAATCAATACCACTCTCACTAAACTCCTCTGGGTCATAGTCATCTTTCCTCTGAGGAAATAAAAGTAAATCATTATTTGTAAGGGAAAAATACAAAACTCTTCTATTCTTTTTAGACTCTTACTAACGCAACCAAATTACAAAAAAGGTTTCTATGAAATATTAATGAACACGTTTTTTCACACATAAAAATTTTAAACTTTTATTTAAGGCAAGCTGTGGTGATAATTTATTATTTAAAAATGATACTCTTTAATCTGCAGGCTAGTAAAACAGCATTCTCATCTTGAGAACTGCAACAAACTACATTATGTACAATGTCATTACATCCTCCTTAATTGACGATACCTTAAATACTGAGACCACTTCAGAAAATGAATCAAATGTTCTTGTTAAAAATTCAAGAAGACTCTGATAATCTCCCGATGCTGTGGCTTCCCTCCAGTCACTTCTGAAATTTCAGGAGACAGTTTAATAATTATTATAATTAACACTGACCTACTGGCACTTACATATAGAAAAAAAATGAAAACAACTGGAAGTGAATTGACGAGTATATGCATTATTGCACATATCTCGGCACTCATCTTCATCCTCAGGACTTTGTGGAAAACTCAGGCAAAACACAGGAAAGATTTTGTTCTCAATGGAAGAAAATTTTTAAACTCTCTTTTCATTAATTTGTTCTTTAGCTGATGCCATCCTAGAAAGTTCATCTTCATTCTAGGTTATAAACCCACAGTTAAAGTTGTATTTTCGGGCCAAAAACAATCTCATCTCACCCCAGTCTTTAATTAAGGAAAGCATACGTCACAATAATTTTGTCGTTGTTTTCATCCTAGACGCAGCTGCTTTTAAGTCCCGAATGAGTGCTTGCTACATGTTAATCATAATAATAGGCCTCAAATTACAATTATAGCTTGATTTAGGCAAGGATTGGTCCCTAGCATGTTAGAGCATCTTGTTTTGGACAGCTGGATAAATCAACAACCAAACTTTGATACAATACAATAACTTGTGGGGAGGGGAGGGAAGGCTATATTTTGTTAACCCTTTGTTTCACATGCTGAGGAGGAAGCCCATTGTCAGTTTCTCATGCCTGTGTTCATCTCTGTTACATCTTTACTTTACTTTTGCGCCAACTGTCACCATTCCATTTCATCTCACAGAGCTGACAGTACAGACTTTACCATGGCAACCATTAGTTGTTGGGGTGGGGATATAGTTATGACTATCAGAAAAATTAGCCCAAAGTGAGGATGGGTACTTCCCATTAACAGGCTAATTGGGAATGAGCCACTGGATGGATCATCACATTTAATAGAAATTAAGAATGGGGTCAGACATTTTCAGGATTTTTGGGGTCAGAAAATTCAGGTAGGTAGGGATTTAAATGGGAAGAATTTAGCAAATATGTCATTTCAGAATGACTAACTTGAAAGGCTTTAAACTTTACATGTTAGATGTCCACGTAGATGCAGTAAAAGTGACTACAGTGTACGTCAGTGACTATGATGGGGTCCATATTAATAAGCCACACAATAGACTATGATGAACTAGGGGTTCTGAGAGGCAAGCGGCACATGCCCAGCTAAAATTAACCCAAGTAGACCCCCACCCAGGAAAGTAGCAGCAGATTTGATGGTTTCTATGAAAACATTTTCAGCAAAGGAAGTTTATGACAAGTTCATTAGAGTGTGCATGCCTCCTACATATTCATCAAATATGATGGTAATTAACTACTGCAAAATAGATATTATAGAAAAAGCGATTCGAAACAATGTCATTTGAAAAACAAAACAAAGTCCAAACAGCTTCTCTGCTTTCTGTTCATTGACTGTTCTTTCCAATTTTGTAATTAAGTGATAAACAGGTATAATTTTACCACCAGCTTGCTTCCAACTAGAGATTATTTCATGTATTTCAATTTTTCTAAGGTAACCTGATCATGGGTGCGAAGAATTTCAGCTGCCCAATTAAGGAATTTGACACAGTGTGAACACAAGAGACAAAAGGGCGCTATAATTAAGTGTCTGAGTTCTTACCATGACATCATAATTTACCTCAGGGACATAGCATTATGATATTTCCTCTCCGGCTTCTTTTTGTCTTCTCTTCTTGAATGACTTCCTCGGACTATCACCTCGCTGTCCGAAGCAGAGTTTGAACCCAGCCTTTCATTTTGAGTCAATCTAGAGCTATCTTCCGAATCTTGTTTTACCAGCGATCGTTTCTCTTTGCCTCTTCGCAAAAGCCCAGAAGAGTTTTTCTCCTCGCTGACTCGACCTTTAATTCCTCCCTTACTCTCGTTGCTCAAAGGAGAATCCTCTTCCCTATTATTTGAATCGCTAATAACATTCGCTTCCGTTGTGTTGTTGCTGAGGTTACGGGAGAAACGGTTCTGTGAACTTGGTACCCCGCGGTTGTTCACTGTTTTCTGTGTCTCTGACCCCGTATCTTGATGTGATAACTCGGGCGTTACTGCAATTCCTCTGTTTTCTAAATTCGATGTTTTAGAAGCTTTTCCTTTGGCTAAGACAGTCGATTTCATAGAACTTCCGCTGACACCTTCGCCGGCTTGTTCTTGTACATGTTCTTCGCGGCCATCAGAACTTGGAGAAAACCTATGTCGATTCCGCGAGCTAAAAAGATTTGATAAGCCACCCAATCTCCGCCCAGGACGAGTTCGCTCCACATGGCTATTCTATAATACACATATACAATGTTTCGTGAGAACATTACCAGAAGGGAATAGGTCAAGAAATTAACACGAAAATACCCACCACAGACGTAACACGAACTTCCTCAGAATCTTCGTGCGGGTTGAAAAGGGGGTTCTTTATCGGAGGTAAAAGGCGTGTAGAAGAGTTTTTAGCCCCTCCACTGGACATACCCACTTATAAACCGACCATCTGGTGTGGTCTAAGCCACAGTGGAGCTTTTATCAAATCATGACCACGACAATAATCCTTCGACCGTGCAGCTCCTACGAACAGACGGCCATTTTGGTTGTTGATTACCGAGCTGGGCGCACTCACCCGTGAATGGATACTACACGTTGATTGGCTCATGTTAGAATGAAGAAATCTGATTGGATAATAAAGATTCCCTGCTCAAAATTCCTCACAACAGGTGCACTGGTTTCTTGACAACATTTTCCTGTAATCAATATTTCATAGTGCTATTTCCATGAACCATCAGAACGAAATTAGCAAATGAAAATTCTGGAGTGTCATTACACTTTTCAGACAAATAAAACGCAACTCTTTTTAATCTAAATTTGCATACTGTCTCATTTTTGTAAACATCCTTGAACTGACGGAATATAGAAAAATCCAAAACGCCCGAAGAAGATGGATACTTAGTCAAACTTTGTGCCGTGTTTTCAAAATGTTCAAATCGAAAGGTCCGTGGAAAATAACGGAATTTAAAAGCATGAAAAAAAGCATACCGTACTTACGTTAGGTTTCATTTCAGCTCCACGGGATATTAAGACTTCGGAGAAGGTTATTTTACAAAGCTTGTGAAAGCCTCGGCCCAGACAAACATTTAGAAAACAAGTTTTTGAAGCTAATTCTATATTTAGCAGAAAATGTTTAGCGCGTCTCCTGAATCTTGCTATGTCACATTTCATCTCTTAAGAAATTCCCCATTGCGAAGAGAGGTCTGTTAAAGGAATAACCAGCTTAAGCTATGGTAACATTTGTTTTGACTTCAGACCGCATGCTGTTTAATGTTACTGAAGCAAGTATGTTAAAAAAATGCAGATTGGACTGATCTGTACAGATGAAATGTTATTGTTATATAAGGGGAATATAAATTGAAATAGAGAGAATATAATTCCCACCCAGTATAACAAAAACTCGATCACTATAGTTAATGCATCAAATGGTAATGAAAAACGTTGTTTTTTCACAGGACAGCTGCAACTGGACTAACTTGGAATCCTGTAAAAATATCTTATACATGCATGTACACGAAGTCATATTTGAAACTTTTTTTGGATAAAATGTAACAGTATATATTGTCCTCACACTGCCTGCCGCAAGCAGCTTTTGCTAAATGCACGTTCAATAAAGTTACTTGTGAAGCTTAAATATAAAGTCATCTAGCCTCATGAAAAAAAAATAGACCCAGACTGCTAAAGATGAAAAAAAACAACAACAGCAAAAATTAAACAAACAAAGCTTTATATCAGCCAAAATAATTAAATGTGTCAAGGGGAAAATGTGTGTTTCCTTTTTTTTTTTCAGACGTTAAATTTCCGGCGATCTTTTAAACGAGAATAATTATTGTTACTGCTGTTTTTTTTAATTTTTTTTTTCACCAAGATAATAATAATAAACTTCACTCCCAGCACGCTGATATTCCATGTACTTCAGTTGGGGTCTGAAGAAGAGAGTATATAGACATTTGTGACACTGCAATCGTTTAAAGGCCGATGCCGGCTGGAATTTTAGTTTTATAAATTATAAAAGCTCTCGAAAAACTAAGGGACAAAATTCCACATTTCGCTTCCACTTTTAAACGATTTCCATTCGATGGCTTTTTTTCTGTGAAAAAAAAGGGATGAAAGATTTAATGCCACCTTCACATTTTCTCCAAAAAAATAACCCAAAAGTTTGCGAGAAAATTAGATATTTATATTCCACAGCGGCTAGTGAACTGGAGTTGGAATGATTTTTAATTATCTATAGATAGAAATTGTTTAGTTTCAACGTTTCGATATTGTATATTTTTTCCTTCTCGACAGTCGTCAAGTTTGAAAGATTTTAAAACGTTTCGACAATGGCCTCGAGCAAGCAACTTTAAAATAAAAAATATCTATTTTTAACTAAAATCCGAAACCAGTGTGAGGTATCAGTCAACTTGTTTGAGGCAGTTAGTGACATGGGACTCTCCACTCCTCCTTGACATGGATCAATTCTGCCAGAAGAATGTTCGAGTAGATTGAGCGATGCAGAGAGCATTCCGTGCCGGTAGAAAAAGGCATTTTTGAAACAAATCATTGAATAGAATGAAGAAAAATCGGCAATAACATCAATGATATGAATAAGATAATAAATGCAAGGGAATTTAAAACTAAGTACAAAACAAAACATAGCGCGATGGTAATATTGAAAAAATTCCGTTTCGAAGAATATCGGTCGTAAGTAACCTGAGTTCAGGCCCAATATCAGCAGGTATCATACATTCCCTCACGTAGAGTTTTATTTCTGAAGCGAAACGAAAATAGAACCTGATCTCAGGTTAGGTCCTTAGATGATTGACAACTATTCTATGCTTTATGAGGCTAGGTTCAGCCTCCCTGAACCTAAGGCCAAAATACTGCCCCAATTTTCTAAATTTTTTTGAAATAATTTTTTTAAAATTTTTTCTATTTATATTGTATAACTCTACAGATCAGCTTCTGTATTGTTAGAATGACTCATTTTATTAACTTCATTACGTTTACTTTTTCCCTGCCTCGAATAGCGTTTTGTGCTAAATTACGGGACAATTGTATTGTGTGAACGAAGTCTTGTTTATTGCTGTTTTGTCACACAGTTTGGGTGTCCAGTAGCGATGTAGGCAAGATAAGCCTTTTTACGAGCACATATTTTTCAAGCGTACTCCTGGAAGCCCTCCTGCAACAAAAACAAAATAAACCTGTGGTTCGGTTGATGTTTGAGTGTGTTTTCTTGATCTGGAGGGGTCTGCAAAGGGTAAAAACAAAAAAGACTAGGGAGAGTATTTCTGATTGGTTCAGAATTTCGCGGGAAAATTTTACTGTTCGCGGCTTTTCTCTGGTAGATTTGTGCTGTACAGTTGACAGCGTTGGTTCGTCGAACAGTTGATCGGAAAAGTGTGAGAGAAAGTCTTCTCTTCGAGTAATGTAGAGAACGGAAAGCCACATCTCGAGTCTTCATCGATTGCGCCGATAAGGGAACCGATAAAGATTCTTAGCGGAGCTCTCGCGCGCGAAGCGCACTCGGCGGAGCCCCATTGTTAAGATAAAAAGCAAGAAAATTTGGTTATGACGTAGTGAACGCCCGAACGACCGTCCGTACACCCACTACAAGTAAGCCGATGCCAAATGTTAGGTTATTTTGGTGGGAAAGCGTATGGCCACCCGCGTCTTGTGAAGCGGAGACAACTAAGGAGTCAATAAAGACGAAAACGGAAAGAGGAAAATGTTTCTGTATCCGTGTTGTTTTAAATATGAAGCTATGATTAATTGTCATGTCCACAAATTTGGAATATAGTGAAAGAGAAAAACAGAGAAAGAGAGAAAGTAGGGCGACAGGCCAGCGAAGCTCAACGAGAAAAGGAGCTACAGCGAGAGAGAAAAAACAAAAGGAGACATTTTTTGTTGGAGGAACAAGACGAAATTTTGTAGCGGCGGGATGCTAGCGGCCACCAGGGTGAAAATGAGCGACAAAGAAAAAAAACTGAACAAGAACACGTCCGACATTTCCTTCATAAAACGTGTAACTAATAATAATGATAATTTATTATTTATCAGGCGCAAAATAGCATTCAAATGTATGATCTAATGCGCACTAACAAAAAATAAAAATAAACTAGAATAAAAATAAATAATAAGAAAAAAACCCTAAAAATTTTGTATAAATCTCTCTATATATACAATTGAAAAGGCAATTGATGATGATGATGATACCTTTATTAAAGTGTCAAAACTGTAGTAGCGGTGTACAACCACTAAGTGGGGACACTAAAATAAATTAAAAAAGAATAAATCAATTAATAAATTAATTAAAATTAAGAAAAACTATGTATAGTATAAGCAAATGAGAAATTCGAGGGAACTATATACAATATGTACAAATGTATCCATTATCTTATAAAAAATAAGAAATAAAAGATTAAGAAGTGCAAAGAGAGCAGTTAGAGCAGTTATTGTCATCTAATAGCATGCTAAGATCCACTTTTCTGATGTTACATTTGAAGGAGGACAACGTGGAAGCTTTTTTCACGTTACTAGGAACAGAACTCCATACCCTTGGGCCCATATACCTGAGCGAGTGCTTTCCAAGTAGGAGCCCATCAATCGCAGACTTCTTTCCTCAACACCTTAAGCTTTAAGTTTTGCAAGTGTAAGTGGATGGTAAAGTGAATCGAAGGCTTTACTCATGTCCGTGGAGAGAACACCCACAACACGTTATGCTCATCCAGAGCGAATTTCCAATTCTCAGTCAAAGATAAGAGAGCTGTCTCACAGCTATTGTTTTTCCTGTAAGCTGTTAGTTTGTCGCACAGTTTGTTATTAAAACCATAACTGAGTTGCTAGCTGAGTAATTGTTCAAAGAGTTTGTTTACAGTAACTTGTACAGTTATGGGTCTGTAGTTTCCCATTTCATGGGGATCTTCCTTCTTAAAAACGAGTGTCCATTCACCCCTTTTCCATCCCAAGGGCCACTCTCCGAGGGTTATACATGAATTAAATAGTGACGTCAATGGATTTGTTAGCTCAGTAGCTCCAAGCTTGAGCGCCATGGGAGGGATGCCGTCCCAGCCTGTACTCTTCCTTACATTGACGTTTTGCAGCGCCTTTTCAACTTCAAAACTCTGAAGATTCTGAAACTGGAAGCCTTGATATCCTGTCATCTTCTGCGTAATATTCTGGACACTAGGGTGGGTGGCGAGAACTTTGTCATCAACCGCACTGGTGTCTCCAATCCCATCAGCCACAGTAGCAAAATATTCACACAAGTGATTAGAAACCGCACATTGGTCTCTACAGATGGTCCCGTTGATACTTAGGCTGAGCTCATTTGTGTTGACCTTGTGCTTATCAGTCAGAAGGGGCATAAATGTCTTATAGAACTCACTCAGCTTGCACTTAAGCTTAGTGGCTTGCTCTTTCCAATATGTCCTTATTGCCTTTCTC